TTGCATTTTTTTTTTTTTTTTTTCAGTACAGACATGCAACTCATTTTTTGAATCACAACCAACCTGCTTTAGATGATCTGCCTTTTTAATTTTTTGCTTGTAATCCGATGAGTCTTTTGGGGGGAAAGAGATGTCCGTCAGGGGTTTTGGCTTGTCAATGATCTAAAGTTTCTGTTAAACAAAGTTTGCAGCACCATTCTTGGCCAGCAAACAATGCCAGCCTGAAACACTCTCTACACACAAGGACGATGAGGGAGGTGTGTTTCTGCTGAGCTGTGTCCTTCCCTTACCACAGGAAAAACACAAATCAATATCTGAGATAGGAGAGCAGAACCCATTCGCCAGGTGCACACACACACACACACACACACACACCTGTGTGACTGCCAGATTCTGCATCTGCTCATTCCACGCTCGGATCTGGTTTTGCTTGGTTCAGGCGAGACGAAAAGCAGCTGTGAGAGGAAGAGGGAAGCACTACAGTCCAACAGGAAGAGGGTTTGTGTCGTGAGGTTGCATTATGAGTTCATCCAGACTGCTTCCACAGCAGTTTCACTGAGCTCCTTTAGATAATCAACCCAGAATGTTCGATGGCTGCCAGATTTTGTTGGTGAAAATAAAAAAGGGTTGGTGGCGAAAGCAGACAGTGCAGAGGAAGTCCATGCATTAACATCATTTAGCCTGCGTTATGCAAGTCCTAGGTTAAACTAGAACACAAATAATGCAGGAAAAATACTACAAATCAAATTGTTAGTTAAAAATCAGGAATCGGGACTCCACCAGTCATTATTCTACAGCCGCTGAAAATCATTGAAACATGGTTCTATGGCGCAAAAAAAAACAAAAAATAGGAGAGCCGTTCAGATTCTGTTCCGGCGTAGTTGAGACACAACTATAATTAAATTATTATTTTAATAAGGCGCACATTCCGCCGAACAATCAGCCAAACCGGATCAGCGTGAATCCACGGCGATCTACCGCTATTCGCGCTATAAGAATAACTGAACGCACATAGGTAGATAGATAGATAGATAGATAGATAGATAGATAGATATACCATGGTACACTGTATGAATGATAGTGGTGATCCAAGGTCCAAACATTCGACTTAAAGAATAAAGCACAGTTTTCAGGGATAGGTGTGTGACTTACTCCGCGCGCCCAGTGATCCGGCGATGATGAAGATGATGATGAAGATGATGATGATGCTCCCGGTGGTGATGGATGAGATCCGCGGTGGCTACCCAAATGCAAAGTCCAGTTCAGCACAAACACAGTTCGGTCAAAACTTCAGCGTCAAAGAGCGTGAATATCTAAGCAGAAGTTGGGCTTATTATGAACGAAGACGTCGTAGAAACTTTACGCGTCCGTTCTCTGGATGGTGCTCGCGCGTTTCTGAGCGTCTCGCCGGTTTGAGAATGGAAACGCCTTTTCCTCTCTCTCTCTCTCTCTCTCTCTCGCTCAGTCACACGCTCTCTGAATCTGCAGCCTCACACCCACACACACACACACACACACATTTTTCGGGCCTGATGTCACTGCTATCCGGTCAGATAATCCCTCCTCCTTTTATTCCACACAATCCCACATCCTCATCCTCTCTCTCTCTCTCTCTCTCTCTCGCTCAGTCACACGCTCTCTGAATCTGCAGCCTCACACCCACACACACACACACACACACATTTTTCGGGCCTGATGTCACTGCTATCCGGTCAGATAATCCCTCCTCCTTTTATTCCACACAATCCCACATCCTCATCCTCTCTCTCTCTCTCTCTCTCTCTCGCTCAGTCACACGCTCTCTGAATCTGCAGCCTCACACCCACACACACACACACACACACATTTTTCGGGCCTGATGTCACTGCTATCCGGTCAGATAATCCCTCCTCCTTTTATTCCACACAATCCCACATCCTCATCCTCTCTCTCTCTCTCTCTCTCTCTCGCTCAGTCACACGCTCTCTGAATCTGCAGCCTCACACCCACACACACACACACACACACATTTTTCGGGCCTGATGTCACTGCTATCCGGTCAGATAATCCCTCCTCCTTTTATTCCACACAATCCCACATCCTCATCCTCTCTCTCTCTCTCTCTCTCTCTCGCTCAGTCACACGCTCTCTGAATCTGCAGCCTCACACCCACACACACACACACACACACATTTTTCGGGCCTGATGTCACTGCTATCCGGTCAGATAATCCCTCCTCCTTTTATTCCACACAATCCCACATCCTCATCCTCTCTCTCTCTCTCTCTCTCTCTCGCTCAGTCACACGCTCTCTGAATCTGCAGCCTCACACACACACACACACACACACACTCTCTCTCTCTCTCTCTCTCTCTCACACACACACACACACACACACACAATCCCCGTCGATGAAACGTCAAGTATAGCTACCGTACCGATCTTTAAAATAAATAATTATAGTATGCCAAGAATTTCCAAACTAATTTTAATTGCAGTGGTTTACTTTCGGAAGGAGAGTGGAATGTCATGCAGTACTGCATCTGTCCACAGGGGGCAGTAAAGTCGAAGTGCAAAATATGACAACAAAAGAGATTTCTATCTTTCTATCTATCTATCTGTCTATCTGTCTATCTATCTATCTATCTATCTATCTATCTATCTTGCTTGTCTGTTTATTGATTTTTTCCGCCACATGTTAACTTGACCTCGTGATATTATATAGACACGATTAAACTGCACGGCTCTCTCGAGACTATAAACCTGCCGCAAAATACTCATCCCCATATCAACTGTACATTCATGAATGTTTAATACATCGCAAATCCAAAGAGCAGAGAGTTCGAAAGCATCGCAGACTTTAATAAAGAACATGATTGTATGTCTTCGTTCAAATAAAACGCAGAGAGAGAGAGACTTCAGACACTTAATCACGGTGCGGTGGCATCAGGCCATTCGTATCGTAACATTTGCATATTACATTTGAGTTTTATGGAAATATCATTGGTGCATTGGAAATGCAAGTTCATTGGTATCAGTGTAGCATTAACACCAAGTTGGCTTTTAATTTGCTCTTTGAAAGGGATTTGTAAGCGCAGTGGGAGAGGATTTAGATGCAGTGCTGACGGTGGCAGTCCGCCATGATGCCGTGACCCAGTTTGTTTTGACTCGCTTCACACGCGTGCGCCTGCCATTGAGCAAACAGCCAACTGGATTCTGGATGCACAGATGATATTTTTGTCTGATAGTGTGCTCCTCATATATGCACATATAGTTGTCTTGTCATATGCTCGTCATGTGCTGCCTTATCAGTTAATTATTTATCATAGGCAAGGGCATATATGCATGCATGCTCAGTTCACCTCAGGCTCGTGTGAACATGCAAAAATACATGCAAGCGCCAAGACAAAACTACAGGTCCATGCAAATGAGAGCAAGACCCTGACATATCAAAGCAGCGTATTTGTGCGTGTGTGCGCCTCAGGAAATGCTGTAATGGGGAAGTTCTCTCTCCCTGTCACAAGACACGGAACAGAGAAGAAAGAGACTCACAGAAGAACTTCTAAAAACATCCTGAGAAACACAAGCCACAAAGAGAAGGTTGAGAGGGAGGGAAGAAACGGGAGGAGAAAAACAAGAGTTTTTGAACTTTGTCAGTTCGTTAGGCTCTTTTCATAAATGCATCCCATTAAGAGCATTACAGGCACAAATCACATGTTTGCATTAACATAAATTAACCTTAGAATGAAAAGTAGCTCATTTAAAAATCTGGATTTCACTTTAATTATGAGGATTTTAGGCTGTTGCATTTCAGAGGTTATGACTTTCTGAACAATTAAAACATGTTTATATCCAATAATATAGTTTTGTATTTGCATGTGATTAGTTGTTAATAACACTCTATGTAAAACAATTTCTTATTTTTTAAACTAAATGTAATGTTGACTGTATAAGCTCAACTTACCTTAAGAAGACTTTTTTAACCTGATTTAACCAATAAAAATGTGTTTTGCTGTTGGTATAAATGGATGTATCTAGGTTGATTCAGCAATGCTAAATACAATAATACATAGTTACAGCTTAACCTCTTTAACTTAGCCTAAATCTGCAACACTATAACAATGTACAAAAAAATGTTGTCCATTTTTTAAGAGTTTCAGACCCTATTTTGTGCCCTATTTGTGGAAAGTGCCATTCAGAGACAGAGAGCACATGCTTGTGTGTCATCTGATGCTTCTGGAAAGCTCCGTTCCGCTGGATTCATTCTGCGATATCACTGAAAGGAACT